CGTCTCTGCTCTGAGATGCACAGCTACCGGCCTGGACTGAAATATACCTCAGGCTGAGATCTGGGGTGGCATAGCAGGTGTTGATCTCCTGCAGGAAGGTGGAGCTTTTCCATATCAGCTTAACCACACTGCCAGTCCAGCCTTTTTTTCTCTTTTTTTGAGGTGGAGTCACGCTGTGTCACCCAGGCAGGAATGCAGTGTTGCAAACTTGGCTCACTGCAACTTTGCCTCCTGGGTTCAGGCAATACCCCCGGCTCAGCTTCCCGAGTAGCTGGGATTACAGGCCTGCACCTTCATGCCCGGCTAATTGTATATTTTTAGTAGAGACAGGTTTTCTCCATGTTGGTCAGGCTGGTCTTGAACTTCCGACCTCAGGTGATCTGCTCACCTCGGCCTCCCGAAGTGCTGGGATTACAGGTGTGAGCCACCGCGCCTGGCTACCTCCAGTCCATTCTTAAGGAACTGCTGCCCAGGACTGATGATGCATTTCAGCTTTGAGCTTTTGGGGGTTATTCTACCAACAAACAGTCTATTGGGAAGAAAACAGTCCCAGGAATGAACAGATCAGAATGCTCACACCAGTTGATCTTTTTCTAACAATGAGCATGCAGGCAGCCAAAGCTGGTGTGTTTCTAGATGGCTCTTCTAACCAAACTAATCTTTCACTGTTGATAAGTGAGGCAAGGTTGCACTGGACCAAAGGCCGAGGCTGGGCCATCTCGCGTTCCTTTTATTCCCTGTTCTGCCCTGGGTCTGCCTCGAACGTGAGGGAGGAGAGTCTCCGGTGCCAGCTGCTGTGGCAGTGCCCTTCATCCAGGGCAGCTGAAGGAGTCTTGGACCCTTTCTTTCTCTGGGATCCCTGCCCAGCACCTTCCTACAGAGATGACTTTAAAATTGGGGGGAGGAGGGGAAGGAAAGAGCAATGCGCCATTCTGAGGAGTCTGGCATCCCTGAGCCCTCCTTCCCTGCTGGGTGCCACCTGTCCTCACTGCCCCCTTTTCTCAGTCATGCTCGTCAGCTCTGGCTCCTGTCCAAGCACCTGAACAGAGGACTAAAACCTCCACTGCAGGCTGGTTGTAGGTTTGATTTATGGAAGAATCTTGTACAGCACTGCTAATGGAAATTTCAGATTTTTCCCTCTAGGACAAACACCAAAAAATATCCTGTGATTTCTACCCATTTCCTGAGGCCTGTGGAAATAAAACTTTATGTACTTAGACAGAAAATAGAATAAAGTTAATACCAAACTGGAGAGAAAAAGAAAAAAAAGGGCTGCCGTCACGGAGAGCCAAGCCTCCCCCGACTACTCAGGCACGTTTTAAGAAGCCATTCGTTCGTTCATTCATTCATTGGGTCTCTGTGGCTTGCCTACTATGTGCTGGGCAGGGATAAGAGAATTTCCAGGGGTGCTGGTCAGAGGAGGAAAATGAGATAAGCCATTAGCAAGTCCTTCCTTGCATTTTCTCTGTGGTTTTGGAGCAGCTGCAGCCACTCTCCCTGGGGGACTGGTTGTCCTGAGGCCTGGCCAGGCAGGACTGGGCAGCAGGCTTGTCTTTCTGAAGGGTGAGGCCAGTGCCCTCGACGCCCCTGCATGGGTGCCTGGTGATCGGTGTTAAGGGGTGCTGCCTGGAAAAGTCCTCAGGATCCCTCTTCTTGGCTGGAGTCCAGCCCTTCCCTCTTCACCCCGGCATCCTTCACATTTGGTCCAGTTAGTTAGACTGCTGGTTCTCTGTGTCACAGCCAGGTTCACAGTTTGACCTCGTGTGGGGCCAGGGAATTCTAGCCATGACCGTGTGTCTCATTATTGCCTGTCTCAGGACAAGTCATGTGACCTGCTAGGCCTCGGCCTTCTCACCTGTGACTGTGGCTGTTCTAGGATCTGGGAATGGGGACAGTGGCTCCATCACAGACACATGCCTGTAGGATGCCCTTTATTCTAGATCCACTGGCTCTGACTGGAGACGGGGTGGAGGGTGTCCTGCAGGGCTGGGCTGGCCAGGGGAGCCCTGTGGGCCAAGGGGGTGCATGTGGCTCCCTCGGCGAGGGTCCTGCTGGCTGTGCTCCAGGGGAAAAGGTAACGAGGAGCCACTTCCACTTCCCTTCGGTATAATCCCACAATCAGGAAAATTGCTTCAATTGCTAAAAAACGCTGGTGGGGAAGTCCATTTATTTTTCATTTTTCTCGTGCACTTGCCACCCTCGTGCATGAATCACTGTCGGTATGTAGATTAAATTTATACCCCCGTTATCTTTCATGTCTCTGGTGCGCTGGTGTCAGCTGGGCCTCCGGTGACTGAAAGCCCCTGCCTGCTTTTTAGTGGGAGACAGGGTGGCTCCTATGGAGGCGGCTGCTGAAGGGTCTCCCCTCTGTTCCGGGGTCTCCCCTCTGTTCCGGGGTCTCCCCTCTGTTCCGGGGTCTCCCCTCTGTTCCGGGGTCTCCCCTCTGTTCCGAGGTCTCCCCTCTGTTCTGGGGTCTCCCCTCTGTTCCAGGGTCTCCCTTCACCCTCCTCTCCTTGGATCTCTGATTAGGATACATCCTCTAGATTTAGGTGGTTTATGGGGAGGGTTTGCAACAAGCGTGATGAAGGCCTTGTTTCATTTTAATTAATGAATTAATTTACAGACAGGGTCTCGCTCTGTTGCCCAGGCTGGAATGCAGTGGCACGATCTCGGCTCACTGCAGCCTCAACCTCCCTGGGCTCAGGTGATCCTCTCATCTCAGCCTCCTGGGTAGCTGGGACTACAGATGCATACCACCACACACCCAGCTAATGTTTTGTATTTTTTTTGTGGAGGCAGGGTTTCACCGTATTGCTCAGGCTGGGCTCAAGTGATCCTCCTGCCTCAGTCTCCCAAAGTGCTGGGATTACAGGAGTGAGCCACTACACCCGGTGCCTTGTTTTTGTACCTGCTTTGTAAATTGGCCAGGATTCAATATTAAATATATAGGCCTTCTGAAAACACTCTCTAGTAACACACATGTAGGCATGTAGGCTCTCTTTGTTATACACACACACACACACACACACACACACACACACACACACACACGGTAGAGCTGGGCGCCTGGCAGCCTTCCTCTTTGATCCAGGTGACATGGTTACACAGCAGTCGTGGAGGATCTGGTTCTCATCTGTGTTCTGGGATGTCCAGAACCATCCACAGCCAACTTTGTGCTTTGTTCTGTGTCCTCAGATTCAGCCATCTCTGTGCACGTCCTCTGAAAGTACGGTGCTTTATCTCCTGATTTATTTATTCAACAAATACTAACTCTACTTTCCTGGGTCCTGGATCCCTTTGAGAATCTGATGAAAGCCGAGGTCCCCTCCTGAGGCACAATTTTGAACAGCTTAGCAGGTGGTTTACAGGTTTATCCCGACCCTCAGGCAGAGAACTCCAAAGAACTGAAAACCGAGAGGCATTTCAGGAATTCAGAAGCCTGGGGTCCTCCTTAGCCATGTCTCGACCCCTGATACCCCAATACCCTTCTTATATCTATCTCAGAAGAGCATCCCCTGAACTACACCCTAGGCACTTCCAGGGTTACCCATGCAGACTTAGAGAACCCCACTTCTCTCTGGGATGCCATGTCCCTGGTGGGGGGTGTCTCAGGCCGCAGCTGGCCATGCCTGTTACGGGCCCCTGTAGCCCCCTCAGCAGGTATCATTACTGCGTAAGAGACCCATCATTCTGCATTAATCTGGGATCCATCATGATAGCCATGACCATAATTAATTTATTTGGTATTAATGTGGATGAAATATGTACTGTCCTTTCAGGGAAAATCAGGCTGCCTTATAAGCATTAGTTAAAAGGACCATTAAAATCAAACCTTCCCCAGATCCATTAGGCGAAGTCTTTCATCCTGAAGAAGATAAAGTTCTGCTGTGTGAAATGTCATGAATAATTAGGTTGATTGCTGTTTTAAACTCTGCCCTTGCTTCCCCAATGCCTCCCGCCTCCCTTCTGAAGCGGGGAAGGCTCACCTGTAGCCAGGCACACTCCGTCACTGTCCCTGTCTGTGCTAGCCCGCAAGTTTCCCTCGTCTCCTATGACCACTGGTGTGCCTCTGTTTCTCTCTATGACCAGCATGGGGAAAGGGAGTAGAAACAATGCCACTGGACGATACTTTCAATGTGTCAATTTCTCCTTCCTTCCTGGCCTTGGCAGGGGGTGGCTTCCTTGGGAGAAGCTGCCTTGGTGGCAGCTGGTGGCTCCTCTTGCCTTGGTGCTGTTCTGGAAAGCTGCAGAGGTCTGCAAGGAGAGGTCTGAAGCAGCATTTTCCAAACTGCAGTCTGCAGACTCCTTGCCCCGAATGCTGTAGGGGCTGACAAGTGCAGCTTCCGGGGTCTTCCCCAAACCACCGTGCCCAGGACTGTGCATAAGAAGGGGAGGGAGGCAGGCATGGAGGGCTTTTGTGTGTGCAGGATGGAGGTGAGGGGAGAGATGGAGGCAAAGGAGGGAGAACAGCTGTTAAGGGAGCCTTGCTATGCTGACAAAATGTTTTCTCTGGAGCGTGCTGTTCCCTGGCCAGGCAGGGCTTCCTCCCTGGGAGTGTGTGAGGTGTTGCTGGGTGCTTTCTACACGTCTGTGGCACACAGTTCCCTGTGAGGATGTCCTCTGGGATCAACCATAAGGGTGAGGAAGCCCGGAGGTGGAGGGGAGACAGCCTCCTTTGAGGGACTTAGAAAGTCCACCGGCTGCCCCTGCGAATTGAGGGGTGTTAATTGAGCAGCTGGAACCTGGGGGTATCAGCTTTGGAAAAGGTGCCGAAGGGAGTCTCTAGTTCTCATCAGCCCCTTTGGTGGTTGAGAGTCCCGGGCACAAAGCAGTGAAGCTAGAGGGAGGCAGAGTGGACCAGACAGTAAGCTCTGGGTGGCTGGGGGGTTACGCCCATCGATTCTCAGAGTGGCAGGGTAGGAGGGAGGCTGCTCCAGGAAGTTGGGGGAAGCCAGATCCCCTGCCTTGTGTGCCCTAATCCTTTCCTGCTGCCCTGACAGGCGCTTCGGCACGAAATGCACGGCTTGCCAGCAGGGTATCCCCCCGACCCAGGTGGTCCGCAAGGCCCAGGACTTTGTCTACCACCTGCACTGCTTTGCTTGCATCATCTGTACCCGGCAGCTGGCCACAGGGGACGAGTTCTACCTCATGGAGGACGGGCGGCTGGTGTGCAAGGAAGACTACGAGACGGCCAAGCAGAACGGTAAGCAGCGTGGCCCCCACAATCCCCCTCCAGGCCTGTGGGCCGTGGCCTCTGCCTGAGGCGCCCTTCTCGTGGTGTCCCACCTGCCCAGCCCTCGGAGTCCTACTCTTGCACTGCCGCCTCTGAGCAGCAGCCCGGATCTCCACGATGAGCTAGTGCTGAACACCTCCCGGGCCATTAGTGCTCGCTGGCTTCATGGAAGTGTTCATCAAGTGGTGGTTCTGAGAGCCTGCCTGTTTCCGTGGTGGGCTCAGAAGCAGTCAAGGACCTGGTTGTTACCATCACGGCGGCCCCCTTCCCTGGGCCAGGTCTGGGGTGCTGAGGGGTGACTGGGAGCTTGGTCTGCAGTGGACACGTGGGGCTGCCGCTTAGTTCTGCATATGAGTGCACAGGGACCTCTCAGCAACTCCCTGCCTCAAAGGGCCTTGGTGAGAGCCTAGCACTGGCTTCCGCATTCTTCACACGTCTGGTATTTCAGTGAATTGTATTCTGTTCCCCGCTCAGGCTGTGGGCTCTTCCAGGGCAGGGGCTCCTGGTGTTTCTGCAGCAAGTGCCCAGCGAGTCTGCTAGGTGAAGGGGAAGGACACATGCCAGATTCAGGGAGGCTCCATCTCAGCAACATAGCTCCCCCCACCGCCTTCACCACAACCGCTCCAGGGCCCCTGTCTGTGGTGGCAGCAGGAGCTCTGCGCGGTGGTGGCTGAAGTCAGGCCCCACGTTTAGCAGCCATACCTGGAAAGGCCTGGCTTGGCCCAGCAGCAGCGGCTCTCACCCTGCACACCATGCTTTTGGGCAGCCCGGGGGCTTTCCAGGATAGGGCCCAGACTGACACATTCCCCATGCTCCCCTCACAAGGCTAAGCCTGACACTTACTCCTGCAGCCCTACCTCTGGCTTCTCACTCCGAGCTGTGCCCATAGGCCCGGGGAGTCAGGCCCTGGCTCTGAATTTGGATTTGGCCAAACCTAACCTGATAGACGCATGAACACACAAAACATCCAGGTCCTTTGCCTTTGACTAGAATTTTGATCAGCTCAGGGTGTTATTGTGCAATATGGCTCTTGTTGGTAGCTCTGGGCTTGATGAGAGAGGAAAAAAATCAGCAACAATTTCATGTATCTCCCAGATCTGATCAAGACCCGGACTAATTAGTTTTTTGTTCAATGAACACAGTATAAAATATAAGGGGGCTGTGATGGTGAGGAAGCAGAGGGGACTCATAAAGGCCCTTTAGGTGAGCCAGCTGGAGCTGGGCTTGGCTTCTGTCCATGGCAGGAGGGTGTAGGGCTTCCTGTCTCTCTGAGGACCTCCCCTACCCCCTGCACCTACAGCTCTGAGCTTTCAGGTTGGAGAGAGGCCTTTGACCTCCTTCCTCCAGAGACCTGGGGCCTCTGTAGACCCATCCCAAGGCTCTTCGCCTGAATGTACTAATCTGCTCTGGTGTCTTAAAACTCACTCCATGCTAGTGCCTTGGAGTCAGCTGTGATGTCATTGAAGATTAGGGTGGTTTGTCAGGGATGAACCACCACAGCAGGTGGACTCTGAGATACCAAGACACCTTTGGAAGTCTGGTGCCGTTCACTGGAGATACTAATACGGCATGAACTGGCTGAGCCTCGGCTTCTCAGCTCTATGGGGGAAATCATAGCGTCTGCCAAATAGGGCTGTTTCCTGAGGTTTATATAGGATGAAGCTTGTGAAATGGGATGTCAAGTAAGAGTGAGACCAACGTGGAAGAGAAGTGCAAACAGGAAAGCGAGGTGCATTTGAGGTTTTAAGCAGATGAAGGTTACACAGTGTCTCTGGCCTGTTCCCCAGGTCCTTCCCCCCGACCCACCGCTACTGTCAGCAAGGCAGGGCTCTCTGTCCTCGGCAATCAGTGGCCCTTGGAGCAGCAGGGACCTGTCCACTGCAGAATGTGTGGCTGTCTTTTCAGGTTGTTTTAATTCCTCCTTGCTACTCTCCACCCTCCTTCAGGCTTATAGTTCCCTCCCGTTAGCTAAACCAAGGACCTAATGGCAGTTAGTTGCACCTTAGTGTGAATGATTTTGTTCACTTGTTCCATCTCCCTGGATATTTGCATTTTCAATATAATGAGGTTGTGTTTTATGCCAGGGACAAGTTCTAGGAGACCCTGCATCATTCAAAACTAACATATTTTAAGACTAATTTTCCCATAGGAATTAATGTAGAGTGTGTGTGGGGGGTGGTACATTCTGAGAGCACATAAATCCATAACCAGTGAAGTGTATCTTTACCTTAATGCCACTTTTTATTTTCTCAGCATTATCTTGAATACCTTGCAGAACGCTCTCTCCTAAATTAACAGCCCCGGGTATCGTGGTCTCGCTTGGCCTTCCTCAAAGTGTTTTATCACATTTAACTTCCGTACCAAAGTTATTGATTTTTGGGTACATTTTTCAGCACGAGCACTGCCACTGCTACTTAATGAATACTTGGATGACATTGTTATAGGATATAAAAAAGATTTTAAATTATAATAACAGTGAATGTTAAAATAACAGCATATTAGTCCCCATCATTGCAAGAAGAAAGTCCCGTGCGTGTGAGCAGCAGTGCAGAACCAACAGGCCACCACCCAGGATGATGGGTATATCCCAGTGGCGCTGTCATCCGGCTGTGGCAAAAAATTTGTGATTCCCCAGGCCAAGCTATTTTGAAATTGATTCTCAAGGAATGAAAACATTTTTGGTGATTGCATTATTTCACATATTCTATATGAGGACTACATAGGGCACGATTTCCCATTTGCATAATTCAAAGCTGCATCAGACGCTCCTGTCTAGACTCTACCAACATGCACAGAAGGGACTGACTTCTCAGAATGAAAAGGAAGGAGTTTTGGAGGTTACCCTTTGTCTTTTGGACTGACTCTCTGAGTAGTGTGGTCTCTGTGGCAGGAGCTCCAGAATCCCTTCCCTTCAGGTCCAGGGCTTCAGGGAGGGAGTTGGGCCACAGCAGTTCCAGGAGGAGTGACCACGCGAGAAAACAGCCCGAGAAGGGAAGGCACGGGGCGCGTCCCCTCACCGTGTGCGCGCATGTCCTGGGCACACAGCTGCTTCACTCCTTTAGTGCCTGCCAAGACCAGGGCAGGCCGTGTTGTACCCTGGGCTTCCAAGGGGAGGTGTGTTACTGGCCCAAGTCACTCACTCAGCAAGAACATTGAAGCCAGGTCTGCTGACGCCAGGGAGAGCCCTGTCGATGGTGAGGACCGAATGCATAGAAAGTCCTTAGTCAACACCAGTGCATGGTAGGTGCTAACACGTTGGCTGTTACTGTTCCTCAGAGAGGGATTTCTTGAATGGAAAGAACAGAGCAGAGGCAGGGAGGAAGTCAGGAATGTCACAGAGACACTAAGGGACACACAGGTGAGCAGGCAGAGAGCAGAGCGGCCCAAGCCAGCTGCCGGCTCTATTCTTTGTGTGCTCCAGGGGCACCGTGCAGAGAGCTGGGTGCGGGGAGAAGAAACAAACCTTCCCACTTACCTGTGCCACCGGACACACCTGTGCCACCGGACACACCCACACCTCTCTCTGCCTGACGCGAAATGGAACCAACCAGACTTTAACAGGAACTTGAGCTTTTTGCTCAAATTCTGTTGAGCACTTTGTGTTGATCAGTGTGTTGCCCTGCACGTTCTTTAGATCAGTGTTTTCCAAAAAATGTTGACGATTCACAGTAAAAACACCCACTGTACATTCCATCTTAGTATACACATTCATACCCTAAAAAGTAAACAAGGTTCATGAAGCGGTCCTGCTATTCTATTATTTTCTTCTCTTCATCTGAGTTCCTCTTCTAGTTTTGATCCACTAAGTTGACTTTACAGCCCACGAGTGGGTTCTCACCCATAGTTTAGAAACCTGCTTGGACACTACTAGGTGTGCGAACTCATCCCTGGCTGTGCGCCCAGTGACGCCAGAGCAAAGGCACGCGGCTGTGGGGAAATGGGAGACTCCTGATGAGACAGAGGGGAGGGCTTCCAGGGTGGCTTTGAATGCAGATTTCACCCTGGCTGTTCCCCTTCACAGCTCTGGCAATATCTCACAAGGATGTGCGAGCAGAGTGTTTGTCATGACAGGGACATGTGTGGAAGTGGGTACATTCATTCAATCTGATGGGACTTCTGTGCAGCTGGGCTGGCATGGGAGGGGAGAGGCAGGGAGCTGAGCAGAGAGAGGACTGTGGTCTTCTCTTTTCAGTGGCTTGGGAAGGCCTGTGGTACAGGAGTTGCTGCCGTGGGAGTGGGGAACCTCTCCACTCTGTCCCCTGTGCCTCCCACTGCCCTGCCTACAGCAGGCAGGCTCAGGTGCAGAAAGGAAGGAAGGAGGGTGGGGAAGGAGGCATAGCTGCTGCAGATAGGCCGAACCTAGTAAGCAGTGGTTTTTCCATGCAGATGACTCAGAGGCTGGAGCTAAGCGGCCGCGGACCACCATCACAGCCAAGCAGCTGGAGACATTAAAGAATGCATACAAGAACTCCCCCAAGCCTGCCCGGCACGTGAGAGAGCAGCTGTCCTCAGAGACAGGCCTGGACATGAGGGTCGTACAGGTGAGATGCCAGCACTCCCGTGCCCTCGGGGGATCCCAGGCCTGGGACAGGGGTGGAAGGTGTCCTAAGCAGGGAGCATGAGTGACATCACCTCACTGGTGGTTGGGCTCAGGGCCACAACCCCAGGACTTTTGCCAGAACTGAAGGCAGAGTTCTGAGGCCAGGGAGAAGGGGTCGGGATGCATTGTACTACCAGACCGGTGCTCCATTCTGGCTTCAGTCCGCTTCCAGCCGCCCACCTTGGGGGTCCTGGGGGCTTTGGATTCATGGTGGACCCCGAGCATGTCCCTTGTGCTTGTGTGGCAGGTTTGGTTTCAGAACAGAAGGGCCAAAGAGAAACGCCTGAAGAAGGACGCGGGGCGGCACCGCTGGGGGCAGTTCTATAAGAGCGTCAAGAGGAGCCGGGGCGGCAGCAAGCAGGAGAAGGAGAGCTCTGCAGAGGACTGTGGGGTTAGTGACAGTGAGCTGAGCTTCCGAGGTGAGCAGGGCTGGAGGGGCCAGGCCGAGGCCTTAGGAACGTCCCCTGGGAATCCGTAATCCCTGGCACTCAGGAGGGATCTTTCTTGAGGCCTTGGCAACTCCCTCCTGAACACAGGCTTTTCCTCAAGAATTGAAGTGAAGGTGGGGGGGAAATGGTAGTGGCCCTTTACCACGTGACAGGAGTAGGAAACAAGATTGCTGAGGTCTGGACTGGAAGCTGGGACTGGGCCAGGCCCTGTTCTGTGGCCCCACGACCTCCCACTAATCAGCCCACACAGCTGTGAACAGATGACCTGGTTCCAGCCTTGTGCCCCTAGCCCCTCTCCTGCCTCTTCCCCTTTGCTGGGACACTGGCCTACTCCCAAAGTCCCCTAGAGCCAGCCGTTCCTCCAGTCCGAGTAGTGGGGAGGACACGCTCCACAGGCCCTTTTTCCTGGGAAATCAGAGTTGTGAGTGCATGTGAGATGGGGAACTGGCTTCACTTCGGAAACCCGTTCCCCCACCACTCACTTCATCCGGTCCCTCCACACAAGCTTTGCAGCATGCGCTATATTCAAATTCGTGCATCAGCAAAATTACAAATTACTGCATGTTGTGAATCCTCAGGTTGTTTGCAAAGAATAAGTGTTCTCAGTTACTGAGTTCTCAGATGTGGAAGGTCTTCTGCTGGGGTTGGGTGGGGAGAAGGGAAGAGTACCGAACTGGCAATCAGAGACCTGCTTTCCAGTGCGGCTCTGTCAAATCTATCACTTCTCTTGAGCCCCATTCCCATGGGGAATACCACATCTTTGCCCATCTCACTGCGTAGCAGGGATCGATGAACACAACTGAGTGTGGATGTGCTTGGGGAAAGCGTGGCACGTCTGTATACCTGGAAGGCCTGATTGTTCCTACAGGGAGCCTGTGGCTCCTGCAGAGGCCTGGTCATATGACAGGTATGGGCAAAAGGCTGACTCATGGCCCTTTGACAGCGGAGCCTTTACCTTCCTTTTCCCTTTAAAGAGCATGAGCTTCCCCCAGCATTCCTTTTTCATGAGGGGAACAGGGGCAGGCCTCAGAAGGGATACGGTGTTGAAGCCTAGACTGGGGAGGCCTTATTTAAGGGTTGGTGCATAGGCCCAGGTGGAAATAGAAAAAGAAGTTTGTGGGACAGAGGATGGAACAAGTTGCTTGCCAGGACCACGATACCCTGGGAGGACAGTAGTTCACCCCAGAGGTCAGCTGAGGCCTAGAGGTCAGCCTCCTCTTGGAACACCAAGCTGTGGGGCCCTGGGGAGAGCTCATGGGTCTAATGCTCACCTTCTAGGCTTCTCGGCGGGATGTGGAAAGCCACTTAATCTCATCTGGGCTGTTGAAGTCACCACCTAGAACATACAGGATTGTTAAGCTCATTTCTGTTGGATACAGGCGGGTCCCTGAGCTGACCTATCATTGGTCTCTCTGGGTAATTATATAATCGTTTATTTCCTGAGACTAAAACTGCTCACCTCTGTTGGAGGGATGAATTCTTTCAAATGGCAAAGATTCCATTAGATCCCCTTAATGAAATTCTTCAAGAAACAAGAAGGTCCATTTGCCTTAATCAAGTCAATTCTTTTTGTCCCTAATGAAGAGCTTATCGAATACAGACAGAAACCAAGTCCTCTGATGCTGAACCTCTCTTCCAGATAGGGCCAGAAGGGTTTTGTACAGATGTCTAAGAGTCGTCCTCAGCTGCCCTGACCATACGGGCCTGCTTGCTTCCCAACCAACTAAACCAAGCCCTTTCTCAGCTTGAAAGCTTTCAGAGTAAATCTTACCAGCAAGTGGTTTCCATTTGTGACGTGGAGAACATCTGCCCCACCCAGTCTTAGGCGGCATCCTCGGGGTATTATCACATGAGCCACTTGGGACCAACAAGCTCAGCACACATTTGTCCATCCCTCTGGGACCTGGGGGTTTAGTCTTTGCAGGTGTCTCGTTTTTCTCCTTGACCTGGGTTGGCCTCTGGATGTCAGGCTGCCATATCATTGTGTCTGACCCGTGCTTGGCTGCAAGGCTGCTGCCGTCCTTGGGCATCTTCCTGGTCAAGTGTATTCCTAGGTTGTGAAGAGCAGGGGACCATCGGAGTCCTGGTAGCTGACAATAAATCTCCGTTCTTTTGTCCACAGAGGATCAGATTCTCTCAGAACTTGGCCACACCAATAGGATGTATGGCAACGTGGGGGACGTTACAGGCGGACAGTTAATGAATGGGAGCTTCTCCATGGACGGGACAGGACAATCCTATCAGGACTTGAGGGATGGGAGCCCCTATGGAATCCCCCAGTCTCCATCCTCCATATCGTCCCTGCCATCCCACGCTCCTTTGCTCAATGGGCTGGATTACACGGTGGACAGTAATTTGGGCATCATTGCGCATGCAGGGCAGGGAGTAAGCCAGACACTGAGAACCATGGCTGGGGGACCCACCTCTGACATCTCCACAGGAAGCAGTGTAGGCTATCCTGACTTTCCAACTAGCCCAGCCTCTTGGCTCGATGAAATGGATCATCCTCCTTTTTAAACTTCTCTCCTCCCCACCCTATCTGTCCTCCTGGCTTGAGAGACTATCTTCAAGGATCAAAAGAGACTTGCCTTTTAAGGATCAAAAGTACGCCAATGTGAATTTCCATTATTTTCAATGGAAGTCCTCCGCTGATTCCTAGAAGGCTGTGAGATCACGCTAGGGCGCTGTTTTCCTGGGGAAGCGGCGGGAGAGCAGCCTTATCTCAGAACACAGCACAGCGGGTAATGGCCTAGAGCTCTAGGGACGCTGGCTTGTTGGGTCTCTCCCCTCCTGTTCTGCTTATGGGCTTGGCTGCTCGGTGCTTTGGCAGCAGAAGGTGACTGTGATAGGCGCCTCTGGCCTTTGGGAACTTTGCTCCAACTGGTGTGTTTCACGCAATGCCTCCCAAAACGCTGCTTCACCAGAACTGAGATTCCTGAGGTGGAGGCCTCACAGCCCTTGAGTAAAATAGAAGTGATTTCTGGACTACCCTTATTGAACCTATATCTCAAAATGAAAAGGTCAGTTATTAAAGGTCAGTGAACACTTCGATGGCCACAGTTTGATATTAAAAACATGTCCCCCCCTTTTTTTTTGCTGTGAAAATATGAATTCTTTCCTACAAAGCAGAGAATATGAGTTTGTTTTGGTTTTTAAGTCCCATATGTATCGCTGACTCCGATGGCAAGAGGTGGTTTTCATTGCAGGTGACTGAGGCTGAGCTGAGTGGCCCTGGGGCACCACTGCAGACTGCCTGATGAGTCCCCTTGGTGCACAGCGTGCCTTCTTCATTTGCTTGTATTATTTATTCCACAAGACAGGCTGTGGGCTACAAAATGAGCAAAACTAAAATGTGGGGAGAAGAGAATGACAATCAGTGAACATTTGTAGACACATTTGGATTCCACACCTGCAGTCTGTTCAGCCGTATCAGCAAATGCCAGTCTTCCAGAGTTCCCCATCCTATTGGGTGAAATATTTGGAGTCTGTTTTGAGGGAGTTGGTTTAGATGAGCTTGCAAGTCTACCCCTGTCTCCTTAATAATGAAAGCTTTCTCTGCTGTCCTGGCTGACTCAATTGGAGGACAGTTTTGGTCGTTTCCAGGAACCAGCAATGGTTTTTTGGCCTATGTTGGTTGGGAAGAATAATTTGGGGAGCAGCCCTAAAATTGTCCAAAGGGTTCTAAGTGGTCCTTGGGCTGCATCTCTCTGGATTGCTGGCTGGACACCTGCCATGCTTTGGGCTGCAGTTCCATGGTCAGAAAGCCAGAGCTCGCTAGCCAGTGCTGGTGCAGGGACTCCTGTTGTGCAGGTTTGCAGTAGCACATCACCAAGCCTGAGGCCAGGGCAAGGCCAACCCCTGCTTTACCAGTTGCCACTTCTGCGACAGTGCACTGCTGTGGGAAACACTGTTCTGAATGGTGCTTCAGCCCCCACTGGGTGCACCCATCTGCCATCAGGAAGCTCTCCATTTGCAAACTGGAATTTAGCCAGCTGGGATTCACTCCTGTCCTTCTGGAAAGCTGTGGTTTGCTTCTTCTGGCCTCCCATTCTCTTAAATGAGATCAGCAGAGTGGAAAAGGGTGAGAAGGCACTGCCTTTCTATCACATGAAGTGATGGGGCCAGAGACCCTAAGGACCCTTCCTTCTGTGAATGGTTGGTCACCTTTTGAGGACTGCACAGATTTAGGCATGTCGTAGGCAGACTAAAGGAAGAATACACAGTTCCTCTTGGGCTGCTGCATCTTTTCTAAGCCTCCTTCCAGGACGAAACTGAGTTCATTTAAGCTTCTTTCAAATAGTAAATTCTGGGATCAGCCTTTGGGCCACCTCTTCTCTGACCAATTTTATAGCGTACCCTTGTTTTTTGGTGTGCTGCAGTGGTCATGATTTTTGCTTGAGGAGTCTGCAAATGTAGATGCTTTTCTTGAGGTTCCATGTTTATGGATGATGGTGTGTTAAGCCTAGCCAATTCTGTGCTATTGGGAATTCGGCAATCATGTGAACATTGGGGTGGGGAGGAAGACACAAATGCAAGATAACAAGCCATGTGAGGAAAAGAAAATGCAATTGTCTTTTGGAGGATGGCTTTTTAAATACACATGTCTTAGCAGGCTGCTCAAAATACACAGGAGAAAAGGCTCTGCTGGGCAGTGAGCCAGTTGAAAAGCTGCCCGCTCAGATCAATGTTGCAGGTTGACTATTTGGCTGACCAAGTCATAGATTTCAGGGGCACTTGATGTTTTTGGTGAGTATAGTGTGGGGGAGAGCAGGCTCTTTAGAGAGGGGGCATCCTCCTCTGTGTAGCACTGTTTAAGATCACTCTAAGTTTATCAGTTTTTGTTTCTGTAAGTTAATCATACTAATTCCCAGTTCAATAGTGGAAGAAGGAGAGGCCTTACTCATTTATACTAATATAATAAATCTCTTGAGGAACTCAGTGAACAGTTAACGAGATCAAGAGTTCTTTGGCATCAGTAGGGCTGGGTAGCTGGAAGAACCCTTGAGAGCACTGGCCTGAAAACCAGGAGAGCTTTATGTTTTCCAGAGCCACCTCCCCAGAATGCAGCAAACATTGTTGCCTGTTTAGAAGCACAGTCACGGTAGGTCTAAGATTTTTGCAGGTGGAGTTAGCATTATGGGTGGGCCGGTGCCACTAATGAGCCTCTGCATGACAAGACTGTTCCTTGGCTCTTCTGGAGTTTGGAAATGGAGAAAAGCAGGGCATTCATTACCTTTAGCTTCTCTTGGAGGCACTCCTCTGTTGCTTGGAAGTTCTATTATGGGGTATAACATGCTACATGGTAGCTGTTTTCCCCTTGCTAAAATGTATGGATGAATTTTAAAAATGAAATGAGACCTTCTAGAGGCATTCACAATATTTTGACCTGTCTTTGACTCTAAGACAGCAATTAACTAGCAACCATTATCTGCAGTGCGTGGCTGGCCAATTTTAGAGTAGGAAGCTCTTGAATCCAGGAGCAAATTATTTAAAACCTCACCAGTGGTAACTGGTATAAGCAAACATGGAAACTGAGGGGCTTTGGAGGAATCTATATTTGTTGGAAGGTAATGAAACCATGGAGGAAATACCAGGTTTAAGGGCTAAGCTGGCCCAATGGGTAAATCACATTGTTGGGAGTGGGGTTCTTGGCCTTTCAAGGAGTTACTGTGCAACCTCAGGCAAATTCCTTTCAGTCTTTGTGCTTTCTCTTTCTTGTCTCATCTGACAGTTATGAATATAATGTAAAATAAAAATCAACTACCATATTGCTAACATTGTTCCTGCAAATGAATACTGTGAAACATCAGGGAAAGAAGAAAAAATTAAGACTCAAGAAAAGCATTTGGCAGTGTCCTTAAAATTTTTTTTCTTGGCCAGTGTAAAACAGGAAACCTAGTAAGGTAATCTGGCTGTTAGATCTTCATCATTAAGTTCACTTTGCAAGGAAGTGTAAGAAGTCTGTAAAACAAAAGACATTCCCATCTCTGAAGCTCAAGCTGGTGATTGCAAACTGCCTCCTTATGGGAGGGGTTCAAGGCTTCCAATTAGAAAAGCTGTGTGCTGTATGACAGTCCACTCTCTGGAACCTACACTCTCACATGCCACGACTGACAACTTGGTCATAACCATGAAAATAATGACCGTAGCCCGCAGGGTCTGGAGGGCCTGAGGAGGCTCATTTTTAAACATTGCACTTTAAAAATTGGAAACCGTGAGATGAAGAAAAATTCAATTAAGTGGAAATGAGTTTTGTTTTATTGCCTGCTGCTGAAGGGCTCTGGGCATGCTGAAAGCTAAATAAAAAGCACATCACTGGCTCTCTCTTTCTTGGATTGGTCAATTGGCCCTTTTTGCAGTAGTTGCTCCAACTGCTCTAAACACAGTGACTGGAGCCAAAAAGAGAGAGCTCAGCAAAGTCATCCCATCCACACTCTGCTTGGTAGGACCACACTAAAAGCACAGTTTCATGCTGCTAGCTCTGGTGAGGAGAAAGCTGCAGGTTTGGGAGGTACACCAAGCATTCCTTTGCTTAGGGAGGCGGAGCACAGGTGAACAGAGGAAGGACACCCCCTCTCTCATCTGTTGCTCACCAAGAGGCAAGAATCACACCAACTTTCCCACTTGAGGACTGTGTTCGGCCAAACAAGCAGGTTCAGGGCTGTGGGATTCCAGAAGTTGCTCTGAGCTTGCAGTCAGACCTCAAAGCCCCAGATCCCCTCAGCTCTGGATTGTTGCCCTCATCCTTCACAGTGTAAATTTTGTACAGTTAAAGAGAAATGAAGTCTCATTTCCTGGAGAAAAAAAAAAAAAAAACGGAAAAAAAAAAGGACCCACCTATCCTTATTTATTGCCATGTGACTTTGGAAAACAGAAGCTGTTGCGTTTGTTTGTATATGCCTCCTGTGTGTTGGCATGAGATGTATACGGTAACATTATGTAAAATAAATATGGAAATTCTTTAGATGCTGATGTGTCTTGCTTTTCATTTGGTTTGCTGGCAATTTTTTCTCTTGACATAAATAGAATAAAAACTGAGTGATATGGGGTCTTTTTTTTTATCATCAGAAGGAAACCAAAAATATAACTCTGAATGCCAGAACTATTATACTTAGAGCCATGAAATACCAGAACCACTCAATAAAGGATTGATCAGGAGAAGTTCCCTGGTTTTTCTAATAGCCACTTCCTGGGCACAGTCCTCTGTCCTCAAACTTAGGAAATGAGCTGAACAAATGTTGACCATATAATTTTTAAATACTGTTTGTTCAGTCGCATTTTATCTTACTTTTTGATAAAAGTCTTGCTCGGTTGCCCAGGCTGGAGTGCAGTGGTGTGATCTCAGCTCACTGCAACCTCTGCTTCCTGAGTTCAAGTGATTTTTGTCCCTCAGCCTCCAGAGTAGGTGGGATTATAGGCATGCGCCACCATGCCTGGCTAATTTTTTGTATTTTTAGTAGATGGGGGGTTTTGCCATATTGGCCAGGCTGGTTTAACTCCTGACTTCAAGTGATCCACCCACCTGGACCTCCCAAAGTGCTGGAATTACAGGTGTGAGCCACCGTGCCCGGCCTGTCCAGTAGCATTTTAAAAGTCCTTCACCCTTATACATTTTTCTTTCCAGAGAAAGTACATGCAAGTGTCTATATTTACAGAGGAACAGAAACACCTCATCAGAGTCATCAGGGCTCCTGGACAAACATTTTCTAGGAAAATCTCCATTTAGGTTTTTTTCTCAGCAGGAGGCTTTATCAGTGTGCAGACCCTAAGTTTAGCTGGAATGGAAACAGCAACAGACTTTCATTACATTAAAAAAAAAAGTCATAGCATTTCTTTACAGCTGGGATTCCACTGTGGAAAAACTGCAGGGTAATTCTTTTCCCCATTAGTCATCAGTTCTGTTTGGCTGAGAAGATCCAAAGCAGTGGCACTGTCCAGTAGGGTAGCTACTAGCCACACATGGCTATTTAAATTGATTAATAAAACTAAAAGTTTAGTTCCTTACACTAGACACATTTTAAGTGCTCCACAGTTTCATGTGACTAGTGGCTGCGGTATTTGGGCAACAGTGATATAAAACATCCATTGCAGATGGCTCTGTTGGATGGTGCTGATAGAGTCTCGTCAGGAGATCTTATTTATCACATGTTTAGCTACCAGTTATCCTGGAATACTTGGGGCCATGGGGCAAGGAAATATTCTGAGACTCCTTAGACAGTGGCAGTGCCAACTTCTCTACCAGCTTATCATGTATGTGATGTTTCCCTCTCCCCTTTTGTTTTTTCTCCTTTCCTGGACAGATAAAACTTAAAAAAAAAAAAAAAAAAAGCACTACACAGAACAGCTTGGTTAGGTACAAAAAAGGAGGTTAGACTCTGGACCTCTGAGTTCTCTAATGCTGCCACCAGGTTGCTGTAACTTAACCTAAGTCCTAGGCCTGCTTTGTGTGCTGAGGTCTACCCACTTAAAACAGAAAGTTAGTACCTCCAAGGCAGAATGCCCAGTGAGATTCTTGGAGGGATTAAAGGTCTTTTAGTGGAGACCCAAAGCTCTGCTATCAAGGAGAGTCATAATCCTTTGCCAAAATCATCTCCTGTGGTAAGTGCTTTATCAGGCCGAGAAAGGCAAGAGATCTTCCTGGGTTATATACCAAGGAAGGGCGGAGAAGACAGAGCTTCAAATGGGAGTAAGGATATTGGCAGGGGAATACAAAAGGTGCTGAGTGTGAGGACTTTTTTCTTCACTAGCCCAGTCCCTTGGGTGGTAGTTAAGGAAACTCACAGTGCGGGCAGGAAGGGCTGTTGCTCCTAAACTTGGTTACTCATTCCTGAGGCACTGGTAATGGGCATGAGAATTTTGGCCAGTTTATGAAGTCAATACCATGTTTTGGGGTACCGTAATTTGTCTTCCATTCTTAGCCCTTCATCACCAGTCTATGTTGCCTCTTTGTTTTCAACATACTATCAATTGTTTTGAGTACAGCAGGTTCATCGAACTGTTTCCACTCATGCTGTAGTGTACACAGCTCCCACCACAATGCTAACCTCATAACTTTTAGGGACTATACAACGTGTCCAGCTCACAAAGGACAGAAGATCTTGTCCCTCCCCCACCGCCTTATTTTGGTGGTTTGCTCACTGGAGACTGGCTCTGGAGCAGTCTGATTTTGTTTCTGACAGTGGCTTTCCAAAAAGACAGCTGCTTAAAGAATAAAGGAAAGGGGCCGGGCGCAGTGGCTCAGGCCTATAATCCCAGCACTTTGGGAGGCCAAGGTGGGAGGATCACCTGAGGTTGAGAGTTTGAGACCAGCCTGATCAACACGGAAAACCCCATCTCTACTAAAAATACAAAATTGGCTGGGCGTGGTGGCGCAGGCCTGTAATCCCAGCTACTTGGGAGGCTGAGGCAGGGGAATTGCTTGAACCACGAGGTGGAGGTTGTGGTGGGCCGAAATCACTAGCCAGAAAGAAGTAAGACTCACTCAGGAGAACACATGGAGGCTCCACAGTCAGCATTCCACTGCTTTCCTATCCTTTCTCCTTGGGCCCAGGATTCTACTCAGCTAAAATCACAAAAGGAAAAAAAGAAATGAAAGGTAAGTCAGTGTGTCGTACATTTTAACTAACTAAACTAGAAGTAAAATCTTGAGAGATGATCTCAGTGTATCTGCATGTATTTCCCTAGATTTGAAAATTTAAAAATTTTAAAGTTTAAAAATTGTCCTTGAGAGCCGCCGTGGCTCAGGCCAGTTGTCATGGCACTTTAGGAGGCAAAGGTACGCGTTTGAGGCCAGCCTGGGCAACAGAGAGAGCTCTCATCAATTGAGAAAAAAAATAGTCCCTTACAGTCTGAAAGTGTGTCCTTTGCTACACTTGCTTAGAAGAATGCTATTTCAGTTTTATTCAGTTATTCAGAATTCCTGGTGCCTTTCTTCATAAAGTCTCTTTGCCTGGCTGTGCAGGAAGCACTGATCAAACTCAGTATGGCTGATTATTTGGCTCATGACTGCCACAGGGAATTAAATAGTTCAGCCACAACTGTGGAGAAGTACTGAGTTAGGAGGCAGAAAAAAAATTGATGTTTATAAAATGGGACCACATCATTAGGAAAAAAGAAATTTTATTATCATCCTCCTAAAAGGAGTAGTAAATATAAACCATCCAAAACTATTAAATAAAGGTCTTTTAAATGATCAGCTCCTGCCCTGGGAAAAGTATATCACATCCTTTCAGAGAAAGCAGGCATGGGCTTTTGCATGTAACATTTGTCTCTTTATGAACTTTTAATTCATTTTCTTCTGTCATTTTTGCCATTGTGATTTTAGGATTTTCCTTTAGAACTCTTTGGTGATTTTTCCTTTGGCCATCTCCAAAAACAAAAAAAAATGAATTTAGGTATTACACACAAACTGGTATGTTATTCTGTAACTAAATTGGGCAAGTTATAGGGTGTCCCTGAACTGGTCAGAGCTTACATGGTTCAGAGAGGCCGAAGTGCCTCTAGAGTTGTAGGAGAGGCCTTTAAAAAAAAAATTGAGTAATTTATCTTTCTCTTGCTTGCCAGTCCTAGACCAGGATCTCCTGTTGGTTGGCAGGGGTTGGGGATTTGGGAAAGGCTGGAAACTGCTTTCTGAAAGATAAAATATAGGCCCCGAAAAGTGGTCTTGGCACACACTTGGAGTTGGAAATAAAAAAGAGATCTTTAAAATGGTAAATAGATTTCAACAGATGGCTTCTGCATAGCAATGGAGAGCCCAGGCGAGGACTTTGGGGTTAAATCTCATATTTTAGTCACCTGGGACTAGTTTATTATTTCAGAAAAACAAACATCCATAAAGTTGACAGCCCCTTGCCCTCCTCTGAAGTGGAATCCTTGAAGGTTGCCTCCTCACTGGCCAGCTGTCTGCAGATAGTGACCCAGTGAACTGAAAGTCACTTTTTCGACACCTGTCAACTGCAAAGCTGGAGGGATATGATAACCAAGAAACTATTATTACTGGTGGGCCAGAACTTCTATACTCAGTATGTGTGTGCTGGCTTTAAACAAAAAATCATTTTAACATTTAATGCTCCTCAATTAAAGTGATTTCCTGGAGTGGCTGCCAAGCTTCATTTAGAATGCGCATTAACCACTTTCTGTATCAGTAGTTAAAGGCACTGAGGGATTTAAAGAGCAATCCACAAGTCTGTTCAGTCAAGGTTTGGCGGAATAAAGCAGATTATAAACAATAATATATGTCTTTTTTTTTCTGGAAGGGTTCCAAACTCACGAACGGAGTTAAAGTGCTATAAACATATCCAGGACTAAGCTTTGGGCTCCACAAATGTACTCCATGAAAACCATGGGCACTGGAGTGCCACTTTCTATCTTGCGTGTGTGCATGAGCATGTACTTTAAAAGAGTCTTTTATTACACAAAGTGTCCATCAATTGAACTTACCTTCTAAATATTAAAATGGAAACCGGGATTGCTACACAAGTGAAAGGAAAAATAAATCCTACCTGTAGTGCCGATGATGAATTTGTGGCTGCTGCCTAGCACAGTCCATTGGAAATCACCTCTTGACTTCTTAATGCCCTCATGGTCCCACATGTTCAGCCACTGCATCCAGTAGCATTAGGTTCAAATGGTCACTTTCCCACCCCTGAGAGAAAGCACCCTGAGTGCCCAGCGCTCCACCACCAGATCATTTCCCACCCCTGAGAGAAAGCACCCTGAGTGCCTAGAGCTCCACCAC